TGATCTAGTTGTAGTTTTGGGTTGGTATTCTTCTGACCAGTTGGAGTTAAATTCATGAGTGTCAATAGGTCTGTAAGTAGTCCAGTTATCAAAATGTTGTTTGATTTGTTTTTTAATAAATTTGGAATCTGTTATAATGTTATTTGGTATTTTAATATTGTTAATTTTTACGAGATCTTTGTAACAGTTAAGTATGCTATTGATCATTGCTTTGGGATTAGTTTGGAGTTTAGAACATCGATTAGTAATATGTTGATTTATTTGTTCTTGGATCTGCTTGATGTTTTTTATGTTTCAAGTATAATAAAAAGCTTGTCATTCAGTATTAGTAATAGTAATCCAGCTTGATATAAGCTCATAAGAATTAGGTATAAGAGGTATATTAAGGTGATATATTGAGTTAAGATAGTGTATAATAGGATTGAAATGTGTAAGTATAGGTAATGAGTTAGTTAAAGAGGCTTTAACTTGTCTAATAATGTTGTTGAGTTTTTTTGAGATTTAGATGAAGTAAGATAGCTATGTCAGTTTCATCATAACCTTCTAAAATGGCTTTTGCTAGTTGAAAATAAGAGTAATTTATGTCATTTTTCTTTATAATTAGATTTGTATTTGGTATGTTGTCATTTGTTAGAGAAAATTTAGAAGAAATAGGTATAGATGGATAATAAGTGTAGCCTGATAGTCATGGAAAAAAATAATCAGGTGAAGGTTGAGATTTGTGTAGTAAATGTATATAGCATTTACTATAATCAATTTTAATTAATATTGTAAGTGCATAGTTGAAATTGTTTAATTGTATATAGTTGTAATAATAAATGTGTTTTAAAAAGGAGCTAAGTGTTTGGAGATGTGGAAGTAAAGGTAGGTTTAACCCTGCTAACCACAAGTTATAGCATGAGTCTGGATCATATAATGTATTGTAAGATGAGTCTTGTAGTTCTTCCTTAATATGAAATGATGAAATGAAATTCAAGGAAGTAGAAAGTTTTTCTGTAGATTCGCTCACTATATGCTTGGCTTGCACAGCTGCACAGGATACCATAGCCTGTCCTGTACATTAGGTCTGGCCATCATTAACCTGGTTCTCTACATAAATAGACTTAATCACCCATCTACTTACATTATTTTCTTCTAAGAATGGTCTACTAAGTGTAAAGGATATCATTATCTTAAAAGTAGTGGCTGCATTTATGTGTTCTACAAAATAAAAATTATTAATGAAAAACGAATCTGTATACAGAAATACTAAAATATCTACAAAAAAAGAAATTACAAAAATAATTTTTAGAAGGTTTTTGTTTTCATCTATATCTCTATGAATTTTGAATATAAAAAGATGAAACATATATTATTCTAATTGCAGAAACCTTCTCTACATTTCATATTATACTATATATTAGTAAGAAAACATTTATCGATCTGCAAATCAGCTCTGAAGTTATGCCAATATTTTTAACATCTATAAAAATAATTTTTTAAGAAATCTTAAGAAAAGAAAAAAGACATTCAGCATTTCTTAAAATCATTGTAAAAAGTTATTTACAAGACTAATTTTAATATTTTAATATCTGTTAAAACCAAAAAGATCTTCTTTTACAATGTTATTTAAGAGCTCTAGTTATGAATACATAGTATAAAAAAGTTTTAAAAACACCTTTTGTAAAAAGTATAATTTTAAACTAATTTTCTTTTACTGTGTCATATAGACAAAAAAACTTTGAAAATTTTTCTAATCTGAATCAGACTATATAATCTGTAAAGTCTTATTTCTTTTAGGTTCTATCATATTTTGAGATACTAAAGAAGATGACTTTTTGAACATTATATATATTTAACAATTATATACATATCCTATTATATTTTATTTTTTATTAGTATAATTATTCTCTTTCTTGCAAATAATATAAAGTGATAGCTGTATTCATGAATAGTATTTTGACAAGTATTAGCTTTGTATTATTGAAATTTAAAAGCCACATATAGCTATTAACAGTTTGGTTATTAGCATTTCTTTATCTAGTTATGTCTTAGGATATTTCTAAGTTTTAGTATCTAGTAATTCTTATAAAAGGTAAATGATCTTGCTATGTTTGACCAATACAGAAAGCCCAATAGATGATGCTCCAGACATAGACCTATTCAACCCTTATAGTATCTAGGAGCCTATTGACTTTAAATTTCTTAAATACTTATTTTATTTTTCTCTTTTATTTTCTTTATTATTAGTATAATCAAAACTTTTATTTTTATAAACTTTTTTTTATAATAATAATTTTTATACCCTTTATTAAAAAAAAAAAATATATATTTACATTCTTCTTTGATTATAATTATTTTTCCCAATCCTATCATTTAATTCAAATTGTTTTCAATTCTCTCATTCTTTATTTGAACCAATCTCTTCTTCATTTTTTTTTATTACAGTAAACCTCTCTAAGTGCACTTCTATAAGTGCACACCCTCTATAAATATACACTAAAGCCTGATCCCAAGCTGGGACCATAGTGTTAAATGCACACCCTCTATTTTCTGTATATGCATTTAATTTTTATTATTAGGCTATCTTCCATAAGTGCACTATCACATGCTGATAGATCATCTTGACCAATAAAATTTCAAACAATTATATAACATTGCTACAGATGATATATAACCTCTATAATTTACGTTAAACTAATATAAAAATAGGAATCTTATAACAAACCAGTTTAACATAAATTATAGATGCCATCTTAACTACTTTTTTAGTAAATTCTTTTTCTCTAAAAAAAAAAAAAAAAAAATTTGATAGCGTATTTATCAAAAACTTTATTTAATTAATTCATTTTAAATTAAATCTTTAATTAAAACTTTTTTAATTAACTCTTTAAAAAATGATAAAAAAAAAATAAAAAAAATTAAAATAATGAATCTGCCACTTTAGTGGCCCCTTTAAATTTGATAATTAATGCTTTTGTGTTCTCTTCTAAGCAATAATTTTTTGTGCCTCTCTAATTTTTTTATGTAACATTTTTTGAATAATGCCAAAAAGAACAACCTTAATGGACACACAAAAATTTGAATTCTGTGTCTACACCCATGATAATAAGAGAACCTGTCCAGAATATGTAAAGTGAATTGAAGATAAATGGAGAGTTAAAATTAATGAGTCTACAGTCACTCGAATCTTACAAACTAAGGACCAACGACTTTTAAATGAAATCATAAATTCAAATGCTAAGTAATATAGGACTGTTACTGTACCAGAGCTTGAGTTAGCACTCAAGAAATTCATACTAATCTATCAACATTACACTATTCTAAGCGATGCTATGATGATCGAAAAGGCAAAATTGTTAGTGGATGAACTAGAAGTCCCTGAAGGCAAGTTATATTTTTCTTTCGGGTGGCTCCAAAAATTTAAAGAGCAAAATGAAATCTATTAGATAAAGCTTTATGGAGAAGCAGGTTCTGTTGATGAGGATGTCATTACTGAATCCTTATCTTTATTGCAAAGTAAATGCTTTGAATACACTCTTGACCATATATATAACATGGATGAAACTAACCTTTTTTACCAGAAGTTTTTTTTTTCTTTGATAAAATTTTTTTTTTCTTTTTTTTTTTAATAAAAAAATTTCTTTCTAGATTGGAACCGAATCGAACCTTAGTGACGCGGTGAATTGCAGAGTGCAAAATAAATAAAAAACATATTTCTGTGGCATTATGTGCAAATGCTGATGGATCTTATAAGTTGGCTCCTCTTATAATTAGCAAATATGCCAAACTCCAATGTTTCAAAAATGTGAAAATTAATAATTTGCCCATGATATATAGGAGCAATGCTAAGGCTTGAATGCTTGTGATTCTTTTTCAAGAGTGGCTTCAGGATTTCGACCACCAAATGTTGCAGAAGCATAGAGGCCAGTATGTTTTTTTACTTCTTGACAATTGTTCTAGTCATAAATTAGATGAGTTAACCCTCCAGTATGTAGATGTACATTTTTTACCTAAAAATACAACTTCTAGGATACAACCAATAGACACAGGAATAATCATAACTTTTAAAAGAGCCTATCATTGTTTTCATCTTCAGTAAGTTATTGTATTGTATATTTTATTTCTATTTTATTTATTTTTTTTATTGTTTTACTCATTCTTCACTTTATTATTATTTTATTTATTTATCACAATTCTCAATCCTGGTAGCCCCATTTTACTAATAGTCTATTTAATGATAGCTGATTACATAATACAGTCTTTAATAATAAGGCTGTTAATGAAGCAAACTATCAGTGAAACAGGGCTGAATATTTGTATTGAATTTTGCTCTTTAATTTATTCTAATACAGTAATTTATTACAACTATTGGATCCAAATTTAAAAAAAAAAATTTTTTAAAAATATTAGATGGATGTTGGAGCAAGTTGAAGCAGATAATTTCATTCAGAATTTGAAGATGGATGTTTTACAAGTAATCTTGTATATCATAAAGGGTTGGGGAGAGGTTTTGGCTGAAACCATATGTAACTGCTGGCATCATACAAAAATTCTCCTGTCTAGTGCAAATCTTTCAGATGATCTTTGTGAAGCTGGTGATTCAAGGCTTGAAAATCTTATTAGGTCACTAAATACTCTCTGTCTTCCAAATGCAATGGAAACTGATGAATTCTTAAATTTTAATAGTGAGGAGATTGTTTATTAAGTTTTCTCAGAGGATCAAATTATTAAGAAGCTAGCTTATGTGTTCAGAAATGATGAAAGTGTTGAAGTTATGGATGAAGGAAATACTGAGGTAATGGATGATAGTGTGGAACCCACAGTTGTTAGTGGTAGTTCGGCATTGAATAGCTTAGAAAATGTTCAGATGTTTTTACTTCAGCAGGAAGGCTCGGGTAATCAATTAAAATTAATTAATTTTCTTGAGAAATTTATTAGGAAAATGATCTCAAGTTCTGCTTAGCAAACTCACATAGATAAATATTTTAAGACATAAAGATTGAGTAGATTCTTTTTAATAAATTGAAGAAATAGATAAAGAAAAATTTTCTCTATTTTCTTCAACTTAATGTATGTAAAAAATTGATGATAATTATAAACAACTTAGCAGTATTGCAACAATATCGCAGGCCAGCAGGTTATTTATGAAAATTAAATAACATTTGGCATTTTTTTTATTAAATTTACATTTTTTCTTTTTTTTTAAAAAAAAAAGTTTAAGAATTGAAAAAAATCTTTAAAATTTTTTTTTCAATTTTAAGTATATAAAAAAATTTAATTTTATTATGCTATACAGTATTAAAAAAATTATGCAATAGAATACATGAATTTATTCCATATTTTTCATGCAAGTTGCATAAATAATTTGTGCATTCAGCAGATAAATTTTTTAAAAAGTTTATAAATTTTATATGCATATGCTCCTGATTTTAGAATTTCAAAATGTAAAAAAAATTTTATAAACTCACATTTATTTTCGAAATAAGTTACAACTGTTAAATCTGGGATACTCAAAAAAAATTAGTCAAATGAAAATTCAAAAATTTTTTATTACTGTAAATATATACGTACAATACAGTTGTGATGCAAGATATTTTTTGATTATGTATATGATTTGGCATAATCGGTATATATTTATATGTATTATATAACATATTTCTGAAATTATGCACTTACAGTAAAATATAAAGTATCAATTTATAAAATTTTTATGCCAAAATCACAAAATTAATTAAATCGGCTAAAAATCATTCTGCTAAATTTTTCAAGTGTCTTAGAATTTGTAAAAACAGCAAAATCTCTAATTATTTTAATTAGCATGCCAATAAGCAGGTTTTAATATTAAATTAAAAATTATTTTGATTGTATGATCATAAATTTTTGTAATATAACCCGTAATTCCCTAAGTGCACACCCTTTCTAAGTGCATGTTTATAATCGGTTCCCAGAGCATGCACTTAGGGAGGTCTGACTGTATTATCATTTTTCTTTTTTTCTTATCATTACTCTTATTCGCATAATTATTTAAATTTAAAACATCACAATCCATCCATTCTATTTCTTCACCAAATTTATTTTCTTCATCTCTATTTAATGAATTATAAAATATTATTATTATTATTTTTTTGATACTAAGGTGAGGCCTTGCTCATATCTTTATTGGTAGTTTTTAAAGTTAGTAACTTCATGAAGTTATTATATACAAAAATAATTCTATATAAATGCTATAGCCAAGACTAACACTTGCAGTTAGGCCTAATCATTGAACTGCTAACTATATATAACTAGTTTAAGTACAAAAAGAAGAAAACTACATTTAAGAGTAAAGCTCAGATATATTTATCTGTGATCTAAACCTACTAGAATGGTCAAGACTTATCTAGATTTGAATGGTTAAAATATAGTTAAATGAAATATCATATTTGATTCAGAGAATAGTTCATATATTGATTTTTCTAATAGCATGACCTAAGGGTAGGCATATATTGAAGTTTGAGTATACTTGGTTAGGTAGTTCATATATATATGAGTATATATATATTTGGTGATTGTATTTAGTTTGTTTATTATGATTAGCTTGAGTTAGGTATTTAGAAAAAGGAGGTTTAAAATCTTGTTGTTTTTTCTAATTTGCAAAATTTATGCAATATGGTTTTCAGAGTAGTTCGTAGCATAACTCATTGATTTCAAGTAGTATTTTAATAATTGTTTGTAATACTATTTGTAAGGGATGTTAAGGTTTTGAATTGTTTGAATTAGAGATTTGGGTATAAGTCCTTTAAAAATGATATTAAGATAAAATGAGTTATTATTGAATAGTATCTGATGAAAAGTTTCATGATTTTGAATTTTTTGAATAAGTTCTTCTTACTGAAGTTTAGAGAAGTCTAGGTTGCTTTGACTAATATGTTTGGAGATGGTATTTTGAATAATACTAGTAAGTAGTATTGGGTTAGAACATGTTCACCAATGTGTTAAGAAGTCAGGTAAGTTATAATGGAAATAGTTTGTATTATAAAAAGTATATAGATATATTTTATGATATAGGAAATATGTGTGTAATTCATTTAGTAGAATTTTGATTTTAAAGGATTTGAACTGATTAAGTTTAAAGTTGGTTATATTATATGTTGGTTTTTGGTTATAGTTAAAGTATAGCCAAGTGGATCTCTAATCTATTTTAGAAATAAGTTAGTTCCATTCTTTGTTTCATTTTTGAGATGATCACATTGCCAGAATATTGGCTTTGCAAATATTTTTAATAAATGTTCTTGTAGGGTATTCTATAAAGTGTTGGTTCCAGCATAGTTTTTTTTTTTTTTTTATTAAGGTGTCCTCTTTGGTCTTTTGACTTTTATTAATCACTTATCAGTATTGTGGTTCAATGAACCACTACAGGAGAGCATACAAT